GAAGGCCGTCCGCACGTCCAGGAGCAGCCGGTCTGCAAGGCAGCCCCCTCAGTTCCCGGAGCCCCTATGCCACAGCTCCTGCTGCCCCACCGCCTGCTCTGGATGCTACCCCTTTCCCATCACCTCCTCTGGGTGCTCTGCTTTCCCCATTAGATCCCCTGGGTACTGATCCCTTCCCCATCACCCCCCTAGCTGCTCTCCCTTCCCCATCACCTTCCCTGAGTGCCCCTTTCCCATCACCTTTCCTGAGTGCTGATCTCTGCCTCACGACCAGCTCTAGATGCTTCCCCTTTCCCATCAACTCCCTTGGGTGCTCCTCCTTCCCCATCGCCTTCCCTGAGTGCTGATTCCTTCCTCATCAACCCCCCTGGGTGCTGCCCCTTTCCCTATTGTTCTGTCCTCCTCCCAGTTGCAGATTCCTCCCTCCCCATCCACCCTGCGTGCTTGCCTTCCCCCATCATCCACCCAGAGTGCTGCCCCCCCTTTCATAGCCCACCCCAGAGGCTCCCTCGTTTCCCACACACCCACAGGGGACAAATTCTCACGGAGCAGGGCCTCGTGTTCCTGTGCTTGGGTGGCCAGGGCGAGCAGGACCCAGACAGGACCTGGGCAGACCCCGTCCCACCACCGAGCCCCAGCCCCCACTGGTCGTACTCACCCGCCATGGCCCCTCAGGCCCAGCCTGCCAGGAGCCCGAAGTTTGCTTCTGCTGCGCGTAAAAGCGAAAGCAAATGTTCCTTTAAAAAAAAGTCTCACTTCCTGTGTCCGCACTCGGGGCCCAGCTCCAGGGCCGTGGCTGTATCCAGGCCCTCACGGTCACCGACAGCCCCACACATCCCTGTGAGCTTCTGGTGTGGGGCTGGATCTGCTGTGCCCTTTGCACCCCTGCTTGGATCTCATCCCAGGGGTGCTCAGCCCATCCCCATGGCACCGGGGCACTGTGAACATGTGCATCCAGCCCCAGCGCTGTGACACCCGGCACCCACAGGCCGAGAAGGAAGCTACCAGCCCTCCTGCACCTCTCAGAGCTGGGCGTGGGGCAGCTCCGCTGGCAGAGGTGGTCAAGGACCAACATCCCCTTTGTCCCCACACCCCAAACCCTCCAGACCTGCCTGGGGCTGAGCTCAGCTCATCCCTTCTTTGCACTGCCCTGTGCACACTGGCAGGGAGACACCATCCTCTCTCACCCAAGGGTTCACTGGCCCCGTTTCCATCCCACAGGCACTGGGGGGGAACAGGACCCTGTGTGAAGTGTAAAATCTGGACCATACAGAAGCCTGAGGTTGCTCCATAACTGCATAAGCAGGGTTGTGTTACAGGACAGGTTGAGGAGCCCTGCATGAGGATGGCAGAGGTAACAAAAATTATGGGGAAACCCAGAGGATGGGCTGTGAGGATGAGGGACATCCAGCCCCTTCACAGGCAGAGGCAGCAGCTGCCAAAGGCCAAGCACGGTGATGGATCAACCATGAGCCAGCAGAGTGCCCAGGTGGCCAAGAAGGCCAACGGCATCCTGGCTTGTATCGGCAGCAGTGTGGCCAGCAGGACAAGGGCAGGGATCCTTCTCATGCACTCAGCATTGGTGAGACCACACATCAAATCCTGTGTTCAGTTTGGGGCCCCTCACTCCAAGAAGGACATCAAGGGGCTGGAGCATGACCAGAGAAAGGCAACAGAGATGGTGAGGGGTCTGGAGCACAAGAACTATGGGGAGCGGCTGAGGGAACTGGGGGAGGTTCAGCCTGGAGAAGAGGAGTGTAAGAAATAGAAATCATGACTCGTGTTGGATAAATATTCTTAACAGCATCTCTAAACAGGAACTGAAACTTGACAGTTAAGGGCTAAACCACAAGCAGCAAAGTCAACGAGAATATGCACATATAAGGAAATAATGAATATGTAAACTAATTTTGTGAAATAATTTACATAAGCATGCCTTTTTCTAGAAAATAATGAATATGTAACTAACTATGGGAAGATTATAGGGCTATTGTCAGAGGG